AAGTGGCGCAAGAGCGTAAGATGGATGAACCATCAAGTTGTTTTGTTTACAAGTTTGTATATGTATATATTTGTTGAATGACTTGTAATATTATCGTTTATGCTTATTGGTCTATATCGGAACATGACACCCCGAGTTTTGATTATATAATGAAAAATACATTTCTTTTATGAAATGCTTTGGTAAACATTGTTTTATCATGTTTTGTTTTTGGGAACAAATTCCGCAACTCTTTCAAATCAAAAGGATTTACTCTGAATTTATTTTAAAAGCATAAATGAAAATCGGTCTTTTCTGGCCGAGATTTTGGGGATGTCACAGCTCAGGAGTTCCTGGAACTAAAGCGGGATTCGGAGTCGGTGACAGAGATCACTAGGATGTTCACTGAGAGGGCGATCTTTTTCCCTGAGTTGGCTTCGGAGCAGGTTCAGATGTCCCGATATCTGAGTATGCTCAAGGGGGATATCAGACAGTTTGTGTCTACGCAGAGGTGCGAGACCTTGTTGGAATTGCAGGAGGCCGCTAGGCGGCGTGAGTTGGAAATTGAGTTGCAGTTATGAGAGCTGAGGCTGGCTCCGGTGCAGTCGCAGTCGGCCTCAAAACGGTCTAAGACCGTTGATTCCAGGGTTGGAGATCAGAGCAGCCACACTTGTGGGAAGTGTGGGACGGGTCACACTGGAGTTTGTAGGTCCGGTGGTTCATGCTGAAAGTGCGGAAAGGAGGGGCACTATGCGAGGGATTGTCGGCACACAACCCCGGTTCGGGATTTGAGGATTTATTATCATTGCCATCAAATTGGACACTTGAGGGTCAACTGTCCATAGCTTACTGCAGGACCAGTGCAGGCTCCAGCACCGGCCACATTGAGGATCACGGGTAGAGGTCAGGGTGGAGCGGAGCCCCCAATGGCTCAGGGTCGTGCTTTTCAGCTTGCAGCAGAGGAGATCAGAGCAGTGTCGGATGCAGCTGCGGGTATGTTTCTTTCTTGATGTCTTGCTATCTTGTGATTATTGTGGAGTATTGTTATCTGCTAGTCTCGTTGTGTGGTTTTCGGTATTGTATTCGTTGTTCTTTGAAGGTTATGGTATTGTTATGGGTTTAGTGTTGGGAATTTCGTTGGTTATCATTCATGAGAGTTTTAGTGGGAATTTGACGTCTGATCTGAATGTCGGGCAACATAGGCAGTCTGAGGAATGGTTAGTTGAAGGTCGGGTTCTTTCAAGGCGAGATGATCCGTGTTGATATGTGATTCTGCGAAGGCTGCTCGTTCTAGTAGAAACCAGTTCGCATGTAAGGGATTGTGTTGTGTAGGGTTAATAAAGGAGGACGGTGATGGCAACCGGTGGTTGATAGTCAGTGCTCTAAGTGGGGGAGAATTGTAAATTTTCTGGAAGATCGATAAACATGAGAGATTGTTTAGCTATTGGGGTTCAGCAGCGGTTCAGACAACCGAGCGTAGACTGGTATGAGCAAGGGTCAGACAGGCGGGGCGGGGTGCAAACCAAGGGTGATCAATTGTGGGAGGCCCAGGATCGGGTCAAGATTGAGTATGTAGGATGGAGATAGAGTTCGGAACCCCTAGAGGGCTAGAACAGTATGCATGGGAGAGTTTTCCTGGAAGAATAACGCGGGATGATGAATGCTAGTTGAATGGTTCAGATAGACTGAAGGTTGGAGAACGGTCCAGTCAGGCCGAAGGCTCGGAGAACGGTCCAGTCAGGCTGAAGGCCCTGGAGGGCGATCCAGACCTGTTGAAAGTTATGAGAGTGATCCAGATGGGTTGAAGGCCTGGTAAGGCGGTCCAGTCATGCTGAAGACTCTACATGTGTTGATAGATCGGTATGAAGGAATGGAATGAGTATGTCGTGATGTGATAGCATCAGAATGTCTGGCCCCAAATATTGATCACGATTAGTGGAGGTAGTGCATGGACTCGAGAGTCCCTGCGAGCGGATTCAGAGTATGTGTGGTGCATGGGATAGCGGTTATGCCATAAGGAAATGGTGTAGTATTGGGTGAGCACCGTGGCACTTGTGGTAGTGTCAAGGCAGCCAAGTGGATTTCCTTGGTAAGGAAAAAGGAAAGGAATGTAGCTCCGAGAGGGAATATAAGTTCACAGAAGTGAAAACAGTAGTGCGAGTTATGATTGGGGTGTTCTAATTATGGTTATTGCACAGTGTGTGCGACGGTGGTATGGAATAGGGATGAAAGTGGGTCCAAACCCGGACCCGATGGACCCGGACCCGGAAAACCCGGAACCGTTTAACGATATTTTTAAGAACCGGAAACCGGACCGGTATATAGGAACCGGGTCCGGTTCGGTTCCGGGTAAAGTGGGTCTAGAACCGAAAAACCCGGAAATAGGAAAGTGGGTAAAATAGAACCGGGTCAAATGGGTTTAGAACCAGAAAACCCGGATTTTTTTTTATTACCCATAATCTTTCAACCGTTATAAAAAAATGAACAAACAAAAAATTACATTTAAATTATTAGGTTATTGACGACATTGATTTATTTAAAAATAAATAAATAAATAGATATAACAATATTGGTTTAAAAAAAATTGACATTTAGATCATATCACAGTTACCTTAGGTAACTTACCTACGTGTCTTAGTAAACAATCTCAAGATAGTATAATATTATTGACGACAAATCGTATAATATGATTATGTATAATTTAATTGTACCATATAGCCAAATCGTATAATATGATTATGTATAATTTAATTTTCATAGTACCTAATGTCAGTTGTTTATTGATGCAGCCTTACTGCCTTATTTGATAAGTTGAGTAGCTGACCCATTTTTTTTTATGACACATATGATATTAAAAGATTGTCTTGAAAATGTCTTCTTAAATCTTCAACTAATAATATCTTGGCCGCAATGTTTGAGAAGTAATTAATAAGCTGTTGCACAATTTTAATTTAAGCATGCGTGCGAGTGTTTTTTTTTTTTGACCGGTGGATCATCGGCCAGAAGCATTTAAGATTCAAGCCTAAAGCAACTTCAATTTAAGGTGCTTAAATTCTAAATCATCACCAATAGGCCATGTTGGTTGTACATGAAAGCTATGTATTATTTGGAAAGAATAAATGATTTCCACGCTAGATAATAGCATAATAATATACATGCAACAACATAAAACACATAAATAGACATCTATTTAGTGGGAAGAAATTGAGAAATATACTAGATGGGTAATTTTTTCTGTCAAATCAGAAAGATTGAAATCGTGAAACTAAAGGATAGATATAACTTTGAAACTGAAGTGTAGATTGTTATAACATAAACAAACATTGACTAAAGTTCAAAAACATTAATCAACCAAAACAAACACTTACAAACCAATAATCATTTATCGACAAAAAAAACAAAAAAAAAACAAAAATAGTATAACTACTCGTTAATATCTATCGGCCTTTTTCCATTTCCATTTTGGGTGCGTATGGCGTCTTCCAACTCTAATACATATCATAAAAAAAATTAATATGAAAGTTAGCATATAACCAATGTTTTGTTATTAGATAATAAAATGAATTTGTTTGCTACCTTTAGCTATGTCATCATCTTTAAGAATATCATCGATGTTGTCAACAATTGGCTTCTTTGATTTCCTCACCCAATCTTGGGTGCAAACCAAAGCCTCTATTATAGGTGCGGACAAGTTTGCTCGGTAACTATCAATTATGCGACCGCTTGTACTAAAAGCGGACTCGGAAGCCACGGTAGATATTTGAATGCCCAAAAGATCTAATAACATAAACATATAATGTTAAATTATACTACATTATAATAAAAAAATATAAGTAATTAAAATTATACCTTTTCCCATCCGCGAGAGAATTGGGTAACGAGATGCGTTATTTTTCCACCAAACCAATATATCAAAGTCCTTAACGCCTTGGGTTTGTCCTTCGTTCAAGTATCGTGTTAATTCCGTTTCCTTTGAAGCCGATGAATTCACCGATTGAGCAAAATAGTCACCCACAAAGTCGTCATCATCATCAATATGCACAGCATCTTGACTACCACCGGTTTCAAATGGTACATTAGAGTTGGTATTGTAACAATTAAAAAAGTTCTCAAATCTCGATTCAATATCCTTGATTAAAGACTTAGTCTTCGCAGTAATATCTAATTCGGAAAGGGGTTTATTTTCCGGCATCTTGTACTTGATCAATGTTTCAAAAGCATGTCTAAGAAATTCTGTCTTCATTCGCGGATCCAAGATAGTCGCAAAGTACATGTAGTCATTCAAATTTTCAAAATCTCCCCAATACTTCTCATATTTGTCTATCATATCCTTCCCAATTGAATAAAATCGTTTGTTTTTTGACCAAACCCGTATATGTTTGTAAATGCCACATACTTCTCCAAAAAACCGATTTACCAATGGTTTTGAAGTCGTCGACACCAATTCTGTTTTCACCTTGAACTTCTCAAGAAAGGAGACCATTGCTCAACAAGTTACAAAATCTTCACTCACGGGGGTTACCACATCTCGTGCAAAGGAACGATCTATCAAAAAAATGTTACAAAAGAAAAATTAATATATCATTTTGGAGGGCTGTAACTTACTCAAAACACATGCAAATTAGGTGTTTCCAAAGTCTATAATTATTGCCAAACAATGAACTATAATTTAAAAAAAAATCAGCCCAAACGGACTCATAACGAAGTAGATATGACAGCTTAAAGTTAACGAAAAATTCTAAAATAATGCTGTTAACATATTCAAAACAGCTTTGATATATCATTTTTGGAGGGCTGTAACTTACTCAAAACACATGCAAATTAGGTGTTTCCAAAGTCTATAACTATTGCCAAACAATGAACTATAATTTAAAAAAAAATCAGCCCAAACGGACTCATAACGAAGTAGATATGACAGCTTAAAGTTAACGAAAAATTCTAAAATAATGTTGTTAACATATTCAAAACAGCTTTGATATATCATTTTTGGAGGGCTGTAACTTACTCAAAACACATGCAAATTAGGTGTTTCCAAAGTCTATAACTATTGCCAAACAATGAACTATAATTTTAAAAAAAAATCAGCCCAAACAGACTCATAACGAAGTAGATATGACAATTTAAATAGAGCTAAAAATTCAGCAAGAATGCAGAAAAAAAAATTACCTTCCATTTCATACTCATAGAAAGCTTTTTCTAAATCCACCGCGATCTTCAATAAGTCGTAAGTTGAGTTCCAACGAGTGGGACAATCGTTGCACAAAAATTTGGTTGATTCCACCCCGACGGCTTTCATGCACTTTTTAAATAGAGCAATCCGTTGTGTGGACTTTCTAATATATCTTACGGCGTCTTGCAAACATTTAACACTCTCGTCATTTTTATTCATCCCGTCTCTCACAATTAGATTGATAATGTGTGCCATACACCTAATGTGAAAGTGTTTTCCTTCATTGTACAAGTTTGGTAATTTGTTTTTTAGAAACTCTATTGCTTTGTCATTAGAACTTGCATTATCAACCGTACAAGTCATGACATTTTTAATACCCCACCCTTGAATACATTTCAACACTTCTTTTCCGATATCTTCCCCCCGTTGACTATCTAATTCTTTAAAGTTGATTATCCTTTTGTGCATCTCCCAATTATCATCAATAAAGTGTGCGGTAATGACAATATAATGCACCCTTTTACTCGGACTTGTCCAACAATCGGTGGTCAAATGAATCGTGTTAAGTGGATTACATAAGAATGTTACCAACTTATTTCTTTCTTCTTGATAATAAAGTGACACTTTTTTTGAAATTGTTGTTCGACAAGGTACAATCACCTTCCCGTTTAGTGCATTTGTGTATTCAATAAAGGCCTCATTTTCTACAAATTTAAAAGGTAGACCACCCACTACAAATAAATTCAACATAGCCTTTTTAATTCGTTTGTCGTCATGTTTCCAAGTGCTAACACTACCCTCCCCGGTTGGTTCTTTTTTAAATTGTAATGTTTGTTGGTTTTTCAAATTCTCGGGGTTTTTTTTACAATTCTTTGTATGCTTATTTAAGCTAGACGTACCGGTATTATTCCCGTCGGCTTTGAGAGCCCTCTCGCACCATTTGCACTTTCCATGCCGAACTCCATCATTAAAAATCTTCTCAAATGATTTCCAACAATCGGACCTTGTTTTGCCTACTCTTTTTCTCTTTTGTGTTGGTTCCTCATTGATTTCTTGTTGAGTGTTGTCAACAAACACCTCGTCATCATCAAACTACAATAAATAACAATAAAAACACAATTAAAATACAATAACACAACTTAATAACAATAACACAAAAAGTAAGAGTGATCCATCCATGGTGATTCGTGATGCATTCTGTCTTTGACTAAATTCCTTCATTCTTTTTTTGTAATTCACTATTTTATTATTTTATCATTATTATAATTACTTAGCCTTAAAAAAAAGGTTATATCGAATAAGAATTGAAGGGGGTTCAATCTCGACCAATTCAAAGTCTATTATGCAGTCTCTGACTTTGATTCACGCACCAAAAACCATATAAAGTCACTATCATTATCTTAGAAAAGTAATTTACTGCTTTGTAATAAGTTTTTAAACTTAACAAGCAATGGTTAACAACTTAGCATTTAGCAAGAAACTTATTAAAAGGTAATGTAACAAAAGATGACAAAAAGGTAAACATGTTTAAATATTTGACCATATGATATGTCATAAAAAGAAAACAAATCACAATCAGTGCTCAAAAGTTCCCAAGCATGCAACTTCTATGTATGGTCATATCGAGATGTATTTATAATCAACAAAAAAATATGAATATCGATCATTTGTCTTTATTTTATTCTTGTTTGCATAAAGAGCAGAAGTCATGATCTTCTTATTGAGCGACAGTTAAAAATTTACAGTTTCTCATTTCATATAGTATATTGCTATTTGACACGTGTTGCCGAAATAAAATTTTATAAAAGAGCAGTTTCTTCATCGCTCCTTAACATCTCCAAAAAGATAAAAGATCTTTTATATGTTGAAAAGTAAGATTAAGAATTTCAACCCTAACCCCGACATTGATGGTTAAAACGAAACATTAGATTGGTAACCCATATGCATAATCTACACACACGCACATAGAAAAGAAAAAAAGAAAAAAAAAATCAGGTCACCGATGATGGATGAAACTGCAATAAATATAATCAATAGTAAAAGTCAATTGGCAGATGCAATAAATATAATCCAGTATGCATTGTAATTTGACAACTTACTTGTGTAGCTTCATTGTTATCTACCCAATTGTCCACCATTGGCCTTTAATTGATTGTAGGAGATTGATTTGAAGTTCAATTGGGAATGATTGTAGGAAATTGATTTGATGATTGTCGACTTGAATGATGAACTGATGAATAGTATCGGCTTTTTTGACTGAGGCTTGGGCGATAAACAATCGATTGAAGAACTGAAGAACTGCATGAAAATCGAATGAAGAACTGGATGAAAATCGATTGAAGAACTTGATGAAAATCGATGACTTTAGCTAACGATCTTCTGTGAACAATAAATCGTGAACTCGATGACTTTTTTTTTGATTTGCTTCTGACGTTTACGAACTTGGAGGGCACGGGGGAAAAAACTTATCACATTCCGGTTCCAAATCTATACCGGGTCTACATTTTAATTGGTTCTTTGGCCCACTAAACCCGGAACCGGTCCATTTAACCCGGTTCCGGTTTTTTTAACAAATCCGGTTAAAAAACCCGGAATAACCGGACCCGTTAGACCCATACCCGAAATACCCGGAACCCGGATAAGAGTAATTTTGAAACCCAATACCCGGACCGTTTAAGCATTTTCCGGTTATACCGGTTCCGGTTCCGGTTCCGGTTTTTCGGTTCCAAAACTCATCCCTAGTATGGAATCACATCCGGTTTGGAGGTCTGCCGAGGTCACGAAAGGAATTCCGAGGGTGTAGAGCCAAGAGACTCGGAATGGAGGCAGGGATGGAGTCTTGGATTGCCAGCTTGATTTCGGTCAAGGAATTGTGTATGTAGTGGTAATTCACCCTGGGGGATGTTTGGAGGTGTCGTTAGTATATCCGGTTTTCCCAACCCGAGGAAGCTAAATCCAGTTCAACATGGGTATGAGATTGTGGAAGGGAACTCATGAGAGTTGCTCTGAGATTGAGGGATGTATCATCCTGTCAGCATGGAGTGGATAAAGTTGGATTCAGACTGGGATTCTGGTGGTTCAGGGATTATCTCTTGCTCGTATGAGTCAAGTGATTGTTGTGATTTGGAGCGAGCGAAGTATCATGGAGTGGTACTCGGTGGATAAGTGTGGTTATCAGAGGATGAGGCCAGTGGCCGGCTTGAAGCGGTGGTCAGGACACTACAAGAGGGATAGTTGGGTTTTGGGTTTCGATGGCTATGTTTTGAGGAATCTGGTCTGGTTAATGCCAGGAGGTGCATTGCGAGAACAGTTCTGGAGTTGTGTTGCCGCAGGCTTCGAGGACGAAGCTTAATTTAAGTGGGGGAGAATTGTAACATCCCGAGTTCAGGAGTGCAAGTTCTGGGTTCAAAGTGTAAATGTGGAAGGGAAACTCGGCGAGTCCATGGGTGGACTCGGCGAGTAGGGTCGTGACTCTGGTCGCGTGTTAAGTGGCCAACTCGGCGAGTCGGAGGCTGGACTCGGTGAGTAGGCGCTGAGTGGAGAAAACCCTAATTTCGGAGGATGAGCCCTATATAAAGGACATTATACCATCTCCCAGCCTCTTTAACCTCTCTTGAAATCCAGAAAACCCTAAGACGCAATTGTGAGGGATTTGAGTGCATTTGAACCTTGGAGAAGAGATTTTTATAGGAGATCTTGGAGAGATAGGAGGCTTGGAGCAAGGGGCTTTACTAAGATTCAGATTTCCTCTTCTGTTGGGGCTTCCTTTTGAGGTATTACTTCGTTTCTTGGGCTGTTATTCATCTAGGTTCATCATTTTGGAATGTGTGGAAAGTTTAGCTTGTGGTATTTTGGGTTTGAAGGTTAGATCTGAGGTTGCTACCTTATATCTGGAATGGAGAAGGTCTAGAGTGCATTAAAGTCCCTGTTCTTGAGTGTTTGGTGAAATCATCTTGTCCCAAACCCTAGCCCTAGAGTGTAAAATGCATAGATCTCTTTAGATTCACGTAAAGTTTGCCACTTTACGTGATGGATGGGTTGTATAAGGGTAGATCTATGTTTTGGATCATCTGCATGGCCTGGAAAGCTTCTACATGGGTTAAGATCTAGATGCACTCGGCGAGTCACAAAGGTGTACTTGGCGAGTTGCTTGAAGATGGACTGGAACTCGGCGAGTAGATTGAAGATTGCCTTGGACTCGGCGAGTCTGATCGTGAGGTCCAAACTTCTTTTGGTGAAGCCATGAATCAGTGAGTCAAGGGAGGAGTTGGTGAGTGAGTGCGAGGGGACTCAGAGTTGTGAGACTCGGCGCGTCTCGGGGTGACTCGGCGAGTTGAGTCGCGGATTGGGGAAGCTCTGAGCATGGGGACTCGACGAGTCATTAGGTTGACTCGGCGAGTAGAGTCAGTCAAAAGGTTGACTTTGACTTTGACTTTGACATTGACCAAGGGTTGACCAGTTGACTTCCAGGGGCATTTTGGTAATTGTTGGCTTTTGTTTTGAGTTCAGTGTTGGTGCTGACTAGTGGTGGAGATCGTTTCAGTGGTCGGAGCATCTCGGTCTTATCTTTCTAGTCGGTAGTTGCGAGGTGAGTTATCCTCACTATATCAACAGGGTCTAAGGCACCAAGGTCGACCCTTTATCGGATTTTAATCCGGGTATTGCTATTATGTTGTTGCTTTACTATGTTTGCATCCTGGTAGTTAGGATGGTATATGCTAGTGACCGGTTAGGTCGGTATCCTGCTTAGAGTATGTCATGTTATGTGATCTGCTAGATCGGTTTTATTTGGATGTGAATTGTTATATGATTGTATGTTTATGTGCACATGGTTGTTTGACTGGGGATGGGTTGAGGCGGGTCCTGCTTTGTGTTGTAGGCCAACATACCCAGGGCGGACCGGATATCCCGAAGGCCCAGCGAGCGGTCCGGATAGGCTGTAGGCCCCACGAGGGCGGACCAGACGTGCCGAGGCTCGGAGAGTGGACCAGGCCGACTGAAGGCCTGGTGCGGGCGGACAAGTCATACTGTAGACTCAGAGAGTGGACCAGGTAGGTTGAAGGCCCGATGCGGGCGGACCAACCATACTGAAGACTCGATGGATACGGCTAGACTCGGAGGGTGGACCAGGTGGACTGAAGTCCGGTGCGGTGGACCAGTCACATAGTAGACCCGAAGTGCATGGTTGTTCTGTGTTCTATTTGGTTATGATATGTTATGCGTGGTATATGTGATTGGTATTTTGGGGGTATCTCACTAAGCTTTCGGGCTTACAGTTGTGGTTTAATGTTTTTTTTTTCAGGTTCTTCAGGAGACCGTGGCAAAACAAAGGCGTGATCGTACCGTTCCTCATGATTATGTTTTATGATGTGGTTCTGGGAAGACTCTGATAATAACTGTATTGAAAACCTTTTTGTAATAACATTATGAAAATGGGTTGTTTTTGAAAAGTTAAAATTTGTTGAAATTTTATGGTCGTTTCAAGATGGTATCAGAGCCTTGGTTTGAGTGAATTGGAGGAACATTCGTGTGAATCCAATCTCAAATGAAGGAGAGTTTTCAAAAGAGAATTTAAAATGGTTTTCAAAACGAGTAAAAAGAGGACGCGGAGGTACGATCAGCCGGAGCCAGTAAGTAGCCCCAAAATATCATGCAAGTTATTTGATTATGTGATATGATAGAACAGCATGCTAGTATTAGGCTAGGGATCTTCAGGAATTGCAGATAGTATTGCCTGATTTGTGATGCCTGCTAGCCTAGGGTTTCTTTCCGTATGAGATTTCCAGTGTTCCTTTAGGAGTGAGAGTGTGGCGCTTGTTATATATGTTTTTTTTCACTAGGGTGTTGTGGTAGTACTTAATACAAATATGGGTAGGTGTAGAAGGTAGTATGGGCCCATACTACTGAAAGCACAGGACCCATACGCGTATCAGGGAAACCATGACCTCTAGGGTTGAGTTGGGAGTTGGTTCCCAGGTTAGTGGGAAGTGTCTGAGATTTTGTGGTGTTTTTCAGTATGGTGATCAGGAGGCACGCTGGGAGCGGATCCGGGTCAGGATCGGGAGCAGGAGAGGGAGGTCAGGGCGGGTCGGTACCGCCCAAGGTTACTGGTCAGATGAGCACATGTGAATTGGATGCGAGGATTCGCGAGATCCTGCACGATGAGGTTGTTGTGTTGTTCCGGGCCGAGCTGCCGGAACTGTTTTTGGTTCGATGAAGACCGCCATGGTTGAGTATTTTGATGAGCGCAATGCGGCTCTCACAGAGATGGCTGCCGCGGCGGCTACAGCGGCTGTAGCAGCAGCAGTGCGAGGAGCCGGTCGAGGTTTTCAGTATCGGGACTTTGATAATACGAAGCCCCCCACCTTTGATGGAGTTCAGGACCCGATTATTGCTATGAGATGGTTGTCAGACGTGGAGGGGTGTTTCTTCACGTGTTCATGCCCTGCTTATCAAAGGGTGAGGTGTGCTCTGAACCTGTTGAGGCTTGGGGCGAAGGATTGGTCGAGATTGACCACGGTGTCATACTCGGATGCGTAGAGAGCTACTGTTTCATGGGATCAGTTTTGGGAGATGTTCAACACTCGTTATGTTCCGCGGGTTGAGAGGGAGAGATTAGCTCAGGAGTTCCTGAAACTGAAGCAGGATTCGGAGTCGGTGATGGAGATCACCAGGATGTTCACTGAGAGGGCGATGTTTTGCCCTGAGTTCGCTTCGGAGCAGGCTCAGATGTCCTGATATTCGAGTATGCTGAAGAGGCATATCTGACAGTTTGTGTCTACGCAGTGGTTGGAAAATATTATTTAAACGCTAGTAATAATAATAATAATAATAATAATAATAATAATAATAATAATAATAATAATAATAATAGTAATAATAACAATAATAATAATAATAATAATAATAATAATAATAATAATAATAATAATAATAATAATTAAACGCTAATAATAATTATAATAATAATAATAATAATAATAATAATAATAATAATTAGTCACGATAAATATTAAACTAAAATCTAGTGGTAATAATACTAGGTTTCGTCGAAGGAAATTATAGTGTTAAGAAGTGAAGCGTTGTTCGAGTTTGGAAGAGTGCATAGTCTCTTTAATCTTACACATAGATATGAAGT